AGCTGTTTTCTGTGCAACACATGAGGACGCTCTACTGTGTTCTGCTCTGCCAACACTTGAAATGCTAGTGTCTGTAAAGATCAACCCACGCGCGCTCCTCGTAATGGGAGTTACAAGTTTTCTCCCACGAGCCCCTGAAGGCTAGAACAAATTAATGACAGTTGATTTGAAGAGGTAGAGTGAAAAAGAGTGGGGAAGGGAAAACATCACATCAGAAAAGACATTCAGGACAACAGTCATTAATATTCTCTGGTGAAGGAGGAAGCAAAAAAAACCAACCCTAAATGATGCGGCAGAAAGCCCTTCAAGATGGCTACAAAAAATATCTTCAAGCACAAAAATATCTTCAGCGCAAAGTTTTTAAAAATAGCTCCAGAAAATTACTTTTTGTATCACAAAATTATTTGCAGTGTCTCAAAACGAAGTAAAAACCCTGTACATCACAGCAGTGAAGTCCCAAATGAAAACTTTCAATTCCAGGTCAAAGCAACGTAGCAGAGTTGTAGTAGAAAGGGGACGGTGATCTAGTGAAAATTTTACAGAAGTTTTCCAAGATCAACAGGGAAAGGTGCTCTCATCACATATACCAGAAGATGCTGAATCAGGTCATGGGGAGAGAAACAAAATGGAATGGCAGTAAAACAGCATTCACTCTCATACACATCAAAGAAACAACTGCCTCTTGCCCTGCCACCCTCCAAGGTCAGCAATGCCCCATAGCATTCTCCGTAGCAAATGGAAAAGCAAATGTGCCGTCATTATCTCCTGTGAATGCACTCTCAGTATCAGGGAGCAATGCTTATTCCACAAATAACCCCATCAGAAAGACTACTTGTCAGGGAAGTGCTTCATAGGTGTATGGGTCAGGATTTCCAGCTCATATCCTTAGATCAAGGTTATTTATAGCAATAGGGAAATTATCTTATCCTCAGTTTTACAGATGTAAAAACCCAAAGGCCTGGGGAAGTTTAATAATTTATAAGGTCACCAGTTCAGTCAGTGGGAGGGCAGGTATAGCCAGAGAGCGAGCAACACATCCTCATATTGCTCCATCCAATTCAAGGCACCAGGAGAGTCCTTTCAATGAGGAAGGAAGGTCCCGCACAAGAAGCAGGCACAACCTGACTTTACACACAATGCTCCAAATGAAATTTAAGGAAGGTGAGACAAGCCAAAATGGGAAAAGAGCTTTTGAAGAGGAGAAGCTCAAATACGCTCAACTCCATAGACAAAAGAAGCGTAAAATTCAATGCTGTGTTTTATTCTGGGAATAGCTTTTATTTGCATAGATTGGACCGTAATATTGTCCATCTATAACACACAGGTTCGTTATTAGAATTACTCAGTGTCACACCTTTCTCACTAACCTTGTTGAAGAGGCCTCCATTAGTTTTTTGCTATACAGTATTTTTCCAGAGTCAACAATTTGCCATTAGAAGTAGTTTGTAGCCAGTCCTTCACAATTTAATGTGGTGGGGTTTGGTTTGTTTTGGTTTGGGTTTTTTTGTTTGTTCGTTTGGGGGTTTTTTTTGGGGGGGTGGGTGGGTTGTTGTTGATTATGATTTAATTCAACTCTTAGGATCAGGTTTCTTTACAGTTAGTATTTCTATCAGCAGCACAAATCCCAACCCCAATAAAGCTGAAATAAAGGCACTGGTATTATATGGATATAGCGATAGTTATACAAAGCCCAAAGAAGCGTTCAGTATTTACAAGGGCTTGATGGATAGTATCCTTGTTTGCTCTTCTTACTGTAGAATTTTAGAGCAGCATTACCCTAACAGACTGCAATCCAATTACCTTCCAAACACCCAAAGATTTACAAGATTTTATGGGTAGCAGTATTAGCATGTCAAGCTTCAGCATATGAATGCCTAGCATCTAAAAACCTAACCACAAAAACTGGACATTTATGTTGGCTTGTAATTATATTTTCCATTTTCACCTGAGGATAACGTTTGTTGTCACAGTTTCCTCATTCTGTGCCATCACAGACCTGCTTTATGCTCCATCCCACCCCTGCTCGGTGTTTTATTAAGAATCAGAAGCATTACTCTATGACAAAAAGCATCCTCCTTCCTTCAGCACAACGATTTGTCTTATCAGTGGAAAACAAACATTTGCTCGACACAAACAAATGCATTTGTTCATTACCTTTGGATCTATAGCACTCTATTTCCCAGAAACGGATGTTAAGGGAAATAAAAATACTATTTCTCAAATTCCTGGGCTCTTAATAAGCAACTGGCAGTATCGGCATGGATACTTGCATGCACCCTGAGAGGAAGGAGCCAGCACAATTAGCTTCAAAAGAAACTCTGTGAAGTTCAGCATTTGGGCTTAATGGTCTATATTCAGAGCCGTAAGTGAAAAGAACCAGCAGCGAAGACCTACTGAGCTTTAACCTCAGCTTTGGCACCCATGTCTTTAATGGGCTCCAGCTATTATTTTAATCTAACCTTTCTGTACTACAGGTGTTCATGTGCTAGTATATAGGTATAGGGTTAAGGAAAGCAAATAACATGCAAGTTTCCCAATTCTAGCTCAAGCCACACAAGATGACTTTTTAAAAATCATAGAATATAAATTCCATAACCAAAGTCTTATATAAATTTAAGAAAAGTGCTTGTAAGAGAAAGCTCTCCATAGTAACTTATGTCCTGGTAAAAGCTCATATGACAATTAGCTAGGGGAGCCTGGCTTATTACAAGGTTTACTGTGGGAGGGTTAGGAAGTCCAACTATGCTGCTAGAGATGATGGTTATTGGTAGCATGACTAGGGAAAAAGGATTTCAGACATGCAAGTGAAATTGTGCAAGGAGGAGCTGACCACATTAATCTCTTGCTCAAAACATATAGCTAAACATGATCTTGAGTAGGTAGTTCAATCCATATGCTGATCCTAAATCAACATGAATCATAGCATCATAGAATGGTTTGGGTTGGAAGATCATCTAGTTCCAGAAAAAAATGCTACTACTTAATGACAATTATGAAAATGAACACAAAGTCATCACACTGATTAACAGAATAGCCTTAATTATGTTTCTTTGTATAACCTTGCTATTAGGCATATAGGGAGCGCACTCGATTTAGACAGGACTCTGGGTAGCATTAGGGGTGGCACCCAAGTAGATTGGGGCTAGCTCCTGCACCACGCTCCTCAAGCAAACTAACCAGTCTCTCCCACTGTACTGAGAATTGTTTTCCCAATGGCTGAGGAGGGAAAAAACCCCAAAACAAAGTCAGATGAGGGGAGGGACAGGGAAGAAATATTCTTTTGGCAGACAGCCACTAACCACGTGACATCCAGTTGTTCTGTGAGGTAACAAGAGTACTGCTATTCAGAAACGAGGTAAGAAGAAAAGGTCACCATTAGGTGAAAAAACGGAAAAAAAAATCTATTACGTTGAATTGACATTTATGGCACTCTTCTGGTCTGTAGTCTTACAGTAATCTCAAATATCACATCTTTTTAGGTTTCTAATACAGAGTTATCAGATACATTTTTAATAATTACAGAACAAACATTCCAAGGGGAGGCAAATAAATGCTTATTATCTTACCAATCAGCCAAACAGGATTTCATTGGCATTTGATTAGGTTAAATTTGATATGTGAATTATGTGTACGTGAATTCAGTATCTCCATCCAAGAATCTCCACCACCTTATTTCTTGCACTTGCAGTACAAAGGCCTCTGCTGCTTGAATCATGGAATGGTTTGGGTTGGAAGGAACCTCAAAGATCATCTAGTTCCAAACCCCCATGCCACGGGCAGGGACACCCTCCACTAGACCACATTGCCCAAAGCCCCATCCAACCTGGCCTTGAACACTTCCAGGAATGCAGCATCCACAACTTCTCTGAACAACCTGTTCCAGGGCCTCACCACCCTCCTCATGAAGAATTTCTTCCTTATACCTAATCTAAATCTACCCCCCCTTCAGCTTAAGTCCATTACCCCTTGTCCTGTCACTCCATGCCCTTGTAAACAGTCCCTCTCCAGATTTGCTGTAGGCCTCCTTTAGGTACTGGAAGGCTGCAATAAGGTCTCCCCAGAGTCTTCTCTTCTCCAGGCTGAACAACTGCAACTCTCTCAGCCTGCCTTCACAGGAGAGGTGCTCCAGACCTCCTTAAGAGCCTGTCCTTCCTAAAGAGCCTGTATCTTTCCATTCCAACACTCCAGTCATAGAAGCGATCCCATCACGTCTCCGTGATGCCAGTAAGATCATAATCAACCTCAGTCGAACAGATGATACAAATGCAAATAATGCAATCAGTATACACACAGCCCAAGAAGACCCTCAGCTACAGTTCCAGATGAGAAAAATAATCTCACAAACTTGGAATTTTAATAAAAGTTATATGTACAGGTATCAAATAAACTCCTGAGTCAACTTTTTATATCGCAGGACAAGATTTTCAGGAAGTTCAGATGATCTAGTTACAGAGTTCATTAATTTCTCATGGGAGCTATGCGATTACTTCTTCCACAGCCATTCCCAGATTATCTGGTTTCAAAGAATATGGAACACCTTAATCTTGGACATGTACATAATCCAAATATGAAACAGTGTTTATATGACCTTGTGAAATTTTGTTGTAAAACACAACCTTCTTCCATTTAAATGCAGCATGTATAATAAAGGAAGTATCTGAAAATACAATTAATTTCCTCTTAAAGGCACAATATTAATAAGGGTGTGCTTTTAACAGAAAATACACAAGATGAGACCAGCAACTGATTCCCTCAAACACCAGATGTTTTCTGAGAGGGCAATTCCAAGCTTCAACAGAAAAGGAGCAAATCCCATCAGCAGGATGCAACGGTGCCACACACCATAAGTAACAATTACCATCCTTTGATGGGAAACCATGTAACGTTTCTGACAAATAAATTGCATAAACCCCCTCAAATACAGATTTTTCCAAAATACACTACTACAGCTGTAGGCGTGCATTACTGATGGCAGAGTAGCCATACCTGTATGGCTGTACCAAAAGACTGCTGTACCAGCGTGAAATAAAACTTTATATCCGACATGACTTTAAAGATACGCGCCTGGCTTTGCATGCTACTGCTCAGCTGGCTGCTGTAATACTCCAACCAGAATGTGCTTGGGCCAAGTTACTGCTACGTGATGTCCATTTTCTTCCTGCTTACTTAACCCTTGACTTCAAAGATGAGAAGATATACAGCTTCACTGGGCAACTACTGGCACTGACTTCAATCAGCAGCTTAGGCCAAATTTGGTTCTGCTCCTCTCAGTTAACATAACCTCGTCTTCTGTTGTAACAGACCTTCTGTTACAGGGATTTCCAAACTGCTATGAAGCAGATAAACAAGTTACTTCCTAAATTTGCATTTTGTGAAGTCATACCGGCCAAGAAAAAGCTATTTGATAAGTAAATTGGTATTTCATACAGGTTGCAAGTAAAGTTTCTTGGCTATTCTCAAAAGACTGGGAAATACCTATTGAACACTTTCTCCAGATTTACCTGTCTGTATTAATGCCATAGCTCATACTCTTCTCAGGATTGGGACAGTATAAACAGTCCTCCTAGACCAGGGAGAAAGTCCAGTCTCTTACATCTGTTAGTTTTAATAATGAGGTGACAGAAAAATCAAATATGTTGATTTGAAAAATTCTTTTTTTCAAAAAGAAAAAAAACTTTTTTTTTTTTTTTTAAATAACTGAAGTCACTTCTGAAACAATGTCCCTTGTGCTTGCTCTCCTTGGGAGGCTGGTGTGTGAACTACTACTAGATACAAGCATAACACTCCAGCTCTGTAAGACATTATGCATTTAAGGAGCAGAGTACTGCTAAATGACCATTACTTCCAATGCAAAAAGGCAAATCTGTATTTTAGCAGGAAACGCTTATTGTTCAGAACCTTACTGGGCTAATGCCAGCTGTACTTCCACAACACACTGGGATAACCAGAGCTGTGATCATTATTTTAGACCACAATGCACATACTCCTTTAAATATTATATATAATGCTATCATGTCAGATCACACGGCAAAAATAATGCTTTAATGGGGTACTAAAAGATGACTGTTTTCCTGTTTTTATTCCATGCAAGTTGGGTACTGGTGATGTTTTTTTAACACGACACTATGTTCATGCAGTGACTGAAGAAGTTAAGCCCTCTTTCAGAAGAACCTTCCTCTTTAACTCTCTGCAGAATGACTCATTTTTCAGAAAGAACATTGTCTACTTTTGGCTAAGATCAAATACATTATCAGTTTAATTCATTCCAGAAAATGTTCTTTCCAACTACAACTATTACAATACTAACCCCAAATCCAGCCATAGTTTACTTTTGTCCTGCACAAAAAAAAAAAAAAAAAATCTTTTTCATGATATTGAAACAATTACATTTATTTTTCTCATCTCTCCACTTCTTCAGCATGTACTTCCTGCAGCTTTGAATTCAGCTCACAGCTGTAGAAAAGAAGTACCACAAAAACAATTACAGTGAAAAATTATTTGGCAAAACAAAATACTTGGAAATGCTCACCGCTACAGAGTATTTCTTTTACCTGAAACTCCCTATCTAAAGTGTTATTAACCTGTGGGGTGTTTATGACTCCTCATTAACACTGAATTTCACAGCAAAATTTCCACCACCTCTTACAGGCTGTGAGGTTCCATCCCATGCAGGCTGGTGACAAGCTGACCTCCACAGCACATGGTTCTGCTCAGCAAAGCTGTGCAATCACTGGTCAAACATCAAGCAAAAACCCAAGGAAGTGCCCAAAACCACAGGCCCTTATCAGGGCAATTAACTATGGGAGTCACTCTGACTGTAATCCTTCACTAGAACAATGAAATCATTGACTAAAACAGCGAATCATCAGGGGAAGCTGAACATTCATTAAAACAAAACAAAAACTAGCACTTCCAAAAAAGAGAAGGAAAAAAAAAAAAAAAAAAGAAAAGGAAGCCAAACCCCAAATGCCAAATGAAAAGATTCAACTTGCTCATACATTCAGGGCAAATGCACTAAACCCAGCATTTCTTACAAATCTTCTTGCAATAAAATTGCTGCCACCAGTAAGGAAAACCGCCAACACACAAGACTCCACTGGCTTTTACGAGCAACAGTGTTTTTGTCTGTATCCGCCCTGGGTTTAATAAGCCTTTATTGTCAACTGATACTTCCAGATACTTAAATTTTACATTGTTGCTAATAAATAAATGAATAAAAGAAGTTTTCAAGAGAGTCAAAATTCATAGTTGTTATCTGAGAGAGCTGATAGTACCACCATTCACACGGTGTCAGCCAGAAAGTTTGGATCCCAGCACCCAGCAAGAAATCGCAACTCCAGTCTGAGTTCAATAGACCTTCACTACAGAAAGTGGGTCCACTCAGCTTTCCTTTATTTACTGTTTCATTCATTCATTCCTTTATTTATGTCTAGTTCTCTTTATTTTCTATAATGTGTAGGTAGCTTAACTAACTGGCTACTTTACAGGAGAAGAATAGCTGACCTGCTATCTTCTACATTGAAGACATATTTTCATGATGGAATTTATATTATTTCTTTTACGAATATTTCTGGCTATTCTATTCCTTGCTTTCAAGCAAGAGGTCTTATTCCCAAGAACATGCTGCCTTGATTTTACGAAACAAAATGCCCTTGTTATAGATTCCTTTATGAAGCACAGATTGCTGCTGCTCCTTCTCCCTTGCATTGGTTAGTACAACTGATTGGTCAAATTTGGCTCTCAGCAGTCCAGCAATTCAAGGGAAACAGTTCTCTCATGGATTTGTTACTGTCAAGTGAAAAACGTGTGCTAAGAAAAAAACCCCACACTATTTGCACTTCAGTGACTTTTCAGGCTGCTTGCTGCTCCCTCTGGATTGCAATAGCACGGTTATTTGAAGTGATTGCAAGGCAGAAACCTTACAAGCACATAAAAATAATAGAATTCTAATGTATTCATATGTTTGTTAAAGCTTGCCTGTGCTTAACTGAAACTGTAGAAATTGCTTGGCAGTCTGTTTTTAAGCCTCTTGTATCTGTCCAAGTAATAAAAAAAAAAAATACCTTTTGGATCATAATCTTGTATTTATTACACCCAAAAGTTTTCATGTACTCTAAAAGTTTTATAGCCTGTATTTTCATTGAAAATTTTATATGATTTTCTTCTACATATGTATTTCAAATTGAAATATTTATGTTACTGAACTTTGTAGAGAAAATTCATGAAGGACCTTCAACTGACAATGGTCTACCATAAATAGCCTGCTAGAAGCATGTGACCAAAAGAAAAAAAAAAGCCAAATCAATAGAAGCTTCTTATGAAAAAAGGAAGACACATCATCATGACTAAAAATATGAGTCAGTGCAGATAGGATCTTATCTTCAGAAAACATACAAGTAAGGTAATCAGGTTTCAGAAGATCATCACCCGCAAAAGAAAGTAATTGTGTGTCTGTCTTTTTGGTGTCCAAGAGAAACAGGGATATCTGTGCATCACAGGAAATACAGCTGATTAATCTGCTATGAAAAAATCCAAGTCAAAAAGAATGGGTTTTCAACACATTTTTCTCCTTTTTCTTGCAGTCTTGGGCAACACACAATTCTAAAATACGATCCAAAAAATATTAATTCTCAACTCAAAAGAATGCATGTGGATGTAATTTGAGTTTTTCCAGCAAAAGCTATATAACAAAAACCAGTTAGGTATGAAAATGCTGATAGGGAGGATAAGTATATGTTCTCTGGAATAGCATCTTATCAAGACTACAAAAGATTAAATTATTCTCTACAACTATTGCTAAGAAGAACAGACAGTGTCACCTTTCATAGATGTTAGTACTTTGTTTAAGAATTATTAAAGTCTAAAAGACTATTTAAAGAACTAAATACATGAAAAAAGTCATCTTTGTTCATTTCAAACACCTGTTCAGCTTTGATTAAAGTCTTATTTAAAAGACTCATTGAAGCTGGACCACATAAAAAAGATCTAAAATGCTGGAGCTGTTTTGACAATTTCTCTTGGAGGACTGAGGATTAGAAACTTGCCATGGACAACATTATTGTCATCTATTCCATCAAGGACTGACAAACCAAGTACGTTAACTACAGGGGATCTCAGGATCTGGGCAGGGTCGAGAAGATCCTCCTCTAATCTGAATCTGAGCCGTCCCTCCCAAGCTGAGCAAGGAGCAGCTTCCAGTCCGGAGCTTCAGCAAGGACGGCCCCCCCCCCCCCATTGATCTATGCTTACAAACAGCAGCAAAAAGGCAATCGAAAGAACAAAGCCGCAACAGGCTTCTGCACAAGGCACAAGTCTTGCAAAAGTCAAGAAAGCAGTTTTCACTTCTTTTCCCCCCTGTAAAAATTGTTACAATAAAGTTCTACTACGGGTATTCATATCTCTGCTGAAACCAAACTGTTTAAGTTGCACATTCTTAGTGAGCCATCAATAGCATGGGTAAACGATGAGGATCAGGTGTGATTCTCACCAGATCAGCAATTCTTAATACTCACTGTACTTGTCTCAAGATAGTTGCTTTGCTGACTTGTTGTACATAACTGAATACAAATAGCTATCTTATATAAAATTATCTCAACTAAAGAACATAATTTTTGCCATTTAAAGAAATTGGTGAGCAGTTTATACCCAAGAAAATTATTAGCATTCAGCAGCTCCTTCGCAATAAAGTCTTTAGCCACTTACAAACTGACTCACATAGATCTCATTTACAGACTATTGTCTCTCTTCAGAAAAACACACCTCCAGAAATATTTGCAAAAGAGAAAAAAAAATACCCAAACAAACACTTGCTGCTCATTTTCTGGGTGGGTTTGGTACTCGAATTTAGTAAGTATGATTATCTTACTTGCCTTTCTTTAAATTATGGTGTCCTTTCAGGCATAGAAGATGATGTGAAACACCAAGCGAGTCTCACGCCCTGAAGAGGCATTATAAGATATAGTCATTAAAAACTGGACTAACCCTGTCACCTTTCTGTAGATCATTCATGTTAATGATTTGTGGGACCTGACTAGTCAAAATACTTT